TGCTCACGCAGTTGGTGTGGTGAGTCGTTTTCTCTCTAATCCGGGTAAAGAACATTGGGCAGCGGTAAAATGGATTCTAAGGTATCTTCGAGGGACTTCGAAGGTGTGTTTGTGTTTTGGGGATGGTAAGCCGATGCTTGATGGGTTCACAGATTCTGACATGGCTGGTGATGTTGATTCTCGGAAATCTACTTCGGGGTATTTGATGACTTTTGCAGGGGGAGCTGTGGCATGGCAATCTAAATTACAAAAATGTGTTGCTCTCTCAACTACCGAAGCTGAATTTATTGCTATTACAGAAGCTTGCAAAGAAGAGTTATGGTTGAAGAAATTTTTGCAAGAGTTGGGTTTGAAGCAAGAAAAGTATGTGCTTTATTGTGATAGTCAAAGTGCTATTCACTTGAGTAAAAATTCTACTTTTCATTCGAGATCGAAACACATTGATGTGAGATACCATTGGATTCGTGATGTGTTAGATTCGAAGTTATTACAACTCGAAAAGGTTCACACAGATGATAATATTTCAGATATGTTGACAAAGACTTTGTCGAGGGACAAACATTTAAAGTGTCGAACTTTGGCAGGTATGGTTAATGTCTCCACCTAAGTCGGTAGGGGGAGAATTGTTGGGTATACCTCCTTATTGGAGTGTGGGACCCAATTGGTTTGTTAAAGAGTTTTAATTTAGCTTAGTTTAGGTATAATATATTTTTATATATTATATTTGAGGAGACCCAATCCAATTTGGAAACAATTAGGGTTTGATTACAAAACCCTAGATTCACAATATATATTGTTCAATATTTGAGAGAAATAGATTTGGGTTTTTCACCAAAAAGTGGGTGGTTGCTATATAGCTTCGGTATTAGTGCCGATTGGTGAAGATTGGTCAAGGTGCTTGATTTGTTCATGCTCATGTTGCCTCTGTTCTGAAATTGATTTGGTTTGTTATTTTGGGTCTTCTTTAATTTTGGTTCTGAAGATTTTGGTTCATTTATTTGGTGAGGTCTTTCCTCTTGTTTATTTGTGATTATTTGGAATTCACCTAAGGGTGGTTTTGTGAGACCATTAGTGTCTCTTTTGTAATCGTTTGAAATTTTATTTGGTTGATAGTAGAATCGGATTTCGATCCCGTGGACGTACTTCACATTGAGGGAACCACGTAAAATTTTTTATGTTACCTTTGATTTAATTTTTCCGTATTAATTTTTATTCCCATTAATTGATTTACTTATGAAGAATCACATATTTTCCTTACCATGATGATCAACGAGAGGACAAGAAACCATGAAAAAGTAAGTTATAATTTTGCAAATTTTGTTTGCAAAATTCAAATAGCGCGTGGTGTGCACGGGACAATCCTTTTTTCTTATTTGCATGCTTTCAAGGATGCATTTTTAGAAATTAGAGTTAAGAAACCATAAAAAAGTAAGTTATAATTTTGCAAATTTTGTTTGCAAAATTCAAATAGCGCGTGGTGTGCACGAGATAATCCTCTTTTCTTATTTGCATGCTTTCAAGGATGCATTTTTAGAAATTAGATTTATAAATTTCGATTCATTGTAGTTGTTATAGCTCCTTATATAAAGAGATCAATCTTTCTTTTAACTATCAACATCTAAACTTAAATGATATTAATTTCACATTTAAAGAAAAATAAAAATAAAAACTTAGATTATATGAAATCAATTCAAGTTTTTGCGATGTTATACTCTTCCTTCATCCGGTCAGCTAATGCAATTTGTGCGCAAGCAGCTCATTCCTAAATTAATAACTAATTATCTAAAGGGTGAATTACACTAATAGTCTATATAGTTTGAGACTTATGTTGCTTTGGTTTCTAACTTTTTAATTGTGATACAATTGGCATTAAATTTTAAATCTTGTTTTCAATAAGGACAATTGAAAATATCATTAAATTTTTTAAGGGTAAAATTGTCAATTTGATAAAATATAAACTAATTTGATAAAAATAAATGTCAAATAAATATTTTTGAATTTTTAAAAATTATTTGTATCCACTAAAAATAAAATTATATAAAATTGATAAATTTTTTAGACATTTATTTTTTTTTTACCAAATTAATTTTTATTATGTGTTTGGATGATAATCATTTAAAATTAAAATTTAAAAATTAATCATGTAATTTTTATTAATTTTACATAATTTTATCATTGGTGAATAAAAATAATTTTTAAAAAATTTAAAATATTTTTTTGACATTTATTTTTGTCAAATTAGTTTATATTTTATTAAATTGACGATTTTGCCTTTAAAATTAAACAATGGTATCTTTAATTGCCCTTATTTTAAACAAGATTCAAAATTCAAAATCAAATGTGTCACAATTGAAAAGTCAGGAATCAAAGTAACACAAGTTCCAAACTATACAAACTATATAGACGGTTAGCGTAACTTATCCTTATTTAAACTTAGAGGATACTAATTTTATATTTAAAAAAACATCAACGAATGATCAAACAATCCAGAACGAACTAACCTAGCATTCAGCTCAGATCCAGACGAAAGATTTGTCATTGGAGGGAACTTCATCACTAGCATTGTTGGTTTTGATGCCTTTGCTTCCAACCCCATTTTATTGAGAGAATTTGGTTTGCATGATTTCAACGGTCTTGAAACCGTTGTTTCTTTTCCATATCGCTGGGGTTCGGGAGTTTTTTGAGGAGCTTTCTTCTCCACAGTCAGAGACTTCATGTCGTTAATTTTCTTTATCCTTTTTGAAGCTAATCCTTCTTGACGATTGGATGGTCAAGTTTCCAACCACCTTTTGTTGAATCATCTGTTGGAACAATTTTCTATATAAATGTGTGGGTGATTTTCTGATCACACTGCCCGCCTAGTAATCAGCTGGAGAGCACCGGTAGAATAGATGGTTTCAGCTAACCTGCAACAGAAAGAAAGGGCTCCGGCGGTGGCTCTTCCACCCGGGGGCACTCCGACGATCAAGTCAGTATATCTCTCAAAGATAATCAAGTGCTAAACTCACTATTCAAAGCATAAAACTGCGTACCTTAGACCCACGGGGTGCCTCTCTTTTATAGTTTACTCAATCCTAATCCCACTAGAAGCCTGACTTCCATGGACTTCCATTCAGTGCTTACTTTGGATTTCTCAAGAGATAAAGATAAACTCCTTAAGAGCTTTATCCTTATCTTAGCTAAGTCTCCTCTTTACTCTAGGACTCCTGTCCCTTATCTTTTATCCATTTATCTCGGATTCCAATATCTTCGGAGACAATCTCGGCCGTGCTGAGATAACCTCGGCGTCACAACCTGGATACGTGGCACCTCGGCTGACACGTCAGCGTCACCTTGCCACGTGTTGGTATTCAAAAAATACATCCCCACAACTGCCCCTAGGTTCTATTACCTCGCCTCAGCATTCTGAGGTGATGGAACCTATATCGGTATTTTCTTCCAGTAAAGTGGCTTAAAGTTTGATAGCCGAGATCATCCATTTCTGGCCGACATGCTTTCCCTAAAAAATCAAGATTTTTAAGGATCTTCTCACGCGCATGAACTGTCATGCACTTCAACTCAACCGTTTCAATCATGCGTTTCTTTCTTACTGGCTCGTGCTTGTGACGCGCCCATAAGTCATCTCTTTCTCACATGCGTCGTCTGACGTATGCGCTTTTTTAGGTGTATTGATTACTTTTTTGCCGCCGTTTCATTTTTTGACAAAATCTTTCCCTCTTTCTTTCGTCTCCTCACTTTTGCATCTGAGTTCTCTTGTTGTTTTCTCTCTCTAAAACTCTTTCTTTCAAATCCGCCATTGCTCAAGCTTCTCAAGCTCTGCAACTTTCTCCGTTCACCTTCCGGCGAGATTTCCAACGGTCTTCTGCTCCTGCAACCGTCGTAGGACATTGACAAATCCCTTTTCGGCTTCCCTTTCTTAGGTAAGCTACTGTTCCTTTCGTTTTCAGTTCCTGATGTCTCTTCTTCTTTTGCTGTCGCCATGACTGTACTGCTTCAAACTTTTTCAATTCATAAATCGTACATCTGAATGCATTCATCCATGATTTTGCCTTCGCCTTCATTTTGAATACGCACTGTTTCACCACATCTTTACACTTTTGCCACTGTCCTTTGGACATATATTCTTTGTATTCTTCATGTTCTTGATGGCCCATCCTAATTCTTGTTTCTGAAACTTTGTTTTTGCTTTTTGTTTTTTTTGCATCTTTTCCAGATCTGTACCTTTGATCTTCATCTTCATAGCTTTAGGTTTGGGATTTGTTTGTAGAACCCACGATTTAGGGCAAAACTGAAACATTCCTTACAAATTTCTGTACCAGCCTAAACCTAGGTTTTTGCCGAGGTCTTCATTAATAAGAAACATCTTTCTTCTGAATTTCAACCCTTCTAATTCAGGCCGATATCATGGGTATGTGGAGACATAGGGTAGATACCCCGACCAAACTTGAGTACTTTAGGCAGGAGTTCTCCATCCCTGCCGATGTCCATCTGAGACTGGTTAGGGATAATGACTCCATCATGCCTATAGAAAACGCCATGCCCCTTCCCATTGTAGCTTTTACTGAGTGTGGACTCCGGCTTCCATCAACATCCTTTTTCGCGAGATCCTTCATTATTATAAGTTGAACCCCATGCAACTGGCAATCAACTCTTATCGAGTGATTTTTGGTATTATCGCCTTAGCTAAACAGGAAAACGTTAGGATCACCCTAGCCGACATACAGTATTGTTACACCATGTGTGCCCTTAACTTGAAAGAAAAATGCTTCATTTATTATCTTAAGCTGAGGTCTACAGAATTCAAAATCGTAGCCGACCTCCCAGACTCCAACAAGGGGGCTGGAGATGACTATCTCATTACCTCGGGAAATTGAGAGTTTGCTCCAGACGAGGACATCCATCTCTACCCTCTTCCCCGATCAGTTTTAGAGGGCAAGGGTAAGAGCCCAGCATTTAGCTTTGCCTGTTTTCTTTCAAAGTCTTAAATATTCTGTCTGTTTATGACGTCTGTTCTTTTTGCAGCTGTTCGTCAGCCACCAAAAAATTTTCGCCAATCCTTTGTCCCCAGCAATGACTTAAAAAAACTTCCGGATTTGCCAATCGAGAAGCGAAAGGCACCCCTGCTTCTCAACTTCATCCCAACATACAGATCAGCTCTCCCCGACATCCTTAGGAAAAAGAAGAAGAAGGGCTCATCTTCTCCCTCTGCTACAACTCTTCCAGTTGCTTCATCATCACGAACAGACCAAGGATCAACCTCTGATCCAGCGGAACAGCCGTCGACCTCGGTTCCATACCTCGTTCCACCATCCCAAAGAAAGCGTCGCCGACGTCTTGTTTTTGCATCCGAGATGGGTCGCACAAAGCCAATTACTAAAGACCTCATAGCCGACATTCCATTATCCATTGATAAACAAACAACACAAATCCAACCTCCAGAAAAACCAAAAAGAATAAAGAAAGCTCAACCGAAGGCAAAAGTGGCCCAGGTTGAGACTAAGGACACTTTGCCAGCCCCACAACTGGCTCCAAGTCAGAGAACTGCCTCTGTCCCTTTGAAGAGGTCCGCCGAAGTACCTCATTCTGAATCTTCTAAATCAAAAAAGCCGAGGTCATCTGCAACGACTTCGGGGTCAAAGAAACCAGCTGTCCTCTGGACCCCCGAGATCACCCTAGAGGATAAGCCTGTAATGGCAAGTGACAGTGCCGACGATATTAATGTCGGCGTTGCACTCAGTACCGCCTTACTTCTCCCAGGCGACTTGGAGCGGAACGCCAAGTACAGCGAGTATGAAAATTATGCCTTGATGTTACAGCACTCTGTTCAGGTAAACGTCTTCTTCTTGGTAAATTTTTCTTTCTCTTTATTTCACACTTTGAATATTCTTTAATACCTTTGTTTTCTTTCAGGCCATCCAGCACGTCCATTCTTTCTCGATGCAGTCTTTTGAGAATAGGCAAAAGCTGGCCGACATGAAGAAGGAGTTCTCTTCTATTCAAAAGATCAATAAAGGCCTTGAATCAAAAATGAAGAAGCTGGAGGATCAAGCCGAAGCTGCAATTAAAGCCCAGAATAATGCCGAAGAGAAAGCTGAGGCTGCTGAAGCTATCAGAAAGGTGGCTGAATCTCAAAGGAGAGAAGCCGAGGAAAAGATGGCTCAAGCTGAGAAAGAGCTTCAGGAGGCCCTGGCCGCCAAAGAAGCTGAAATCAAAGACGCCGATGAAAAGGCATATTCACAGGGTATGGCCGACGTTACTGAGGCCTACGAAAAACAAGTGAAGGAGGCATGCAACAAGGGTTTTACCCTTGGTTGGATGTCCCTTCTTAAAAAACTTAATATTCCTGATGACTCTCCACTGCGGAAGGCTGACGCCATTCCCTTGCCATTCCCTCCTGCCCCAACTCCAAGTGAAGATATAGGCGAATCTGATGCTGAGGATGAGGCCGAGGAGGAAGATGACGATGCTTTGATCAGAAAATCCAAAGGCGCTGATGGGGCCAAGTCCCCTCCCCAGAATGAGCAAGTCCTAGACTTGACTCAGGATGATGAAGGTGATTTGGTTCCCAAAGAAGCTGTTCCTGAGATTGCACCAGCCGATATCCCTTCCGAGGTCAAGACGGTTGAAGAAACTCTTCAGGAAATTGACGCCGAGATAGCGGCAGAGAAGGAAGCCGAGGTGGTGTCTGATCTTCAACCAACTGTTGGGGAGGAGTCTTAACTGTTTATCTTTTTCTTACTTGTATTTTCTGGCTTCTTTGTTTTGGGCAACAATGTATGCTTTTTGTATGGCCGATGTGCCCCCCTTTTTTCTTGGAATGTTAATATAACTTTTCTGTTTTATTGAATACTTGTACTCCTGTCTTTTCTTCTTTGTCTTCGTATGATTCTATACTTAGAATATTTTGCATATATCTTATGTACTCTTTCTTCTTTGTGCAATATTCTCGAGATAACACACCTTGGATACATAAACTTCTCGGTTTTAATCTTAACAAGTGCTGAGTATCATGCTGGTTTAACTCGACTTGTAAATTGTCCACAAATTTCAACAAGTGTTTAAGCAATACTCTTTAGTTTAACCAATTTGTAAATTGTCCACAAATTTCAACAAGTGGTAAACAATGATCTCGGCTTAACTTAACTTGTAAATTGTCTACAAATTTTAACAAGTGTTACGCAATACTTTTCGGTTTAACCAACTTGTAAATTGTCCACAAATTTCAACAAGTGGTAAACAATGATCTCGGCTTAACTTAACTTGTAAATTGTCCACAAATTTCAACAAGTGTTAAGTAGTATTTTTCGGTTTGACCAACTTGTAAATTGTCCACAAATTTCAACAAGTGGTAAACAATGATCTCGGCTTGTAAATTGTCCACAAATTTCAACAAGTGTTAAGCAATATTTTTCGGTTTGACCAACTTGTAAATTGTCCACAAATTTTAACAAGTGGTAAACAATGATCTCGGCTTAACTTAACTTGTAAATTGTCCACAAATTTCAACAAGTGTTAAGCAATACTTTTTGGTTTAACCAACTTGTAAATTGTCCACAAATTTCAACAAGTGGTAAACAATGATCTCGGCTTAACTTAACTTGTAAATTGTCCACAAATCTCAACAAGTGTTAAGCAATACTTTTCTTTTCCCTCTGCCCCCTAATGTGAGCCTGAGTTTCACTAGGGTTCGCATTATACATGTATTCCAGAGACAATGTCAAGTATCTTGAAAACAGTACTGAGTCTTTATTTATTTATTTCGGTAAATGGCCAAAGAATAAAGGAATTCTAATGATAGAAAAATTTCAAAGGGGTTTCCCCAGTTGATCTTCTCGGCGTAGTCCGATATGCCCAGAGTATATTTGGGTAGTTCGTCTACCCATTTTCTTTTTGCTGCCTGTAGCCTCTTCTTTATTCCATCGAAGATTATTTTGTTGGATGCCTTTGCTTGCTCATTACTTTGGGAAAAACTTGGTGTTGAGAAGTAGTTCTTGATCTTGAATTTTGCACAAAAGTTCTTCATCCCTATCCTGGACGAGGATTTTCTTTAGTGCCTCTTCGCTCTTCTCGGCTGGCTCTTTGCAGACATCTTCTAGGACTTCCACGTCCTCTTCTTCAATTTCTGCCTTCTCTAGCTCTTGAATGCTGCAAGTAGACTTCATTGCTGCCATGGAACAACTTTTTGCCTGTAGCTGATCACCCCTGACTTCTTCTATCCCATGCTCTGTTGGGAATCGCAACAGTTGATGCAATGTTGAGGAAACTGCCCCCATCGCATGCAACCATGGTCTTCCCAAGATGATGTTGTAAGGGGAGGGTGTGTTGATGACGGTGAATTTTGTCTTGATTTTCCTGGTGCCAGCCTGCACCTCTAAGCTTACTGCTCCCAGTGGCCATGTCGGCGTTCCATTGAACCCGACCATTGGGCCGTTGGATCGTTCCATGTCACATGGGTGAAGGCCGAGCTCCTTGTAACATCAGATATACATGATGTCACAAGAGCTTCCTTGGTCAATCAGGATGCGTTTCACTTGGCATTCCCCAACCTGGAGGGATACTACCAAGGCATGATTATGCGGGTGCTGGACCATCTCTAGGTTGGCTTCAGCGAAGGTTATTATCGGTCCCTGGTACTGTTCTGTCCGATATCTTTTTTCTCCGACTTGATAGATATGTTGCAGGTGTTTTACCTTTTGGGTTTCTCCTCGGATTTCGTTTTCGTTGACCTTTGAGTGGATTACGTTGATTACCTGAGGTCCTTCTGCCTGTGGCTGTTGTGCTGGGGGAGGTGGGGCTGCTGGTGCTTGAGGCAATCTCGCCCGTTCTTCCCTTGTTCTGGTTTCATCAACAAGGTCTCTCAGATGTCCTTGTCTTACCAGGTCTTCCAAATATGTTTTTAGGGTTTTGCAACCCTGAGTCGTATGTCCATCTGCATTGTGGTAGGCACAATGCCTACCAATGTTCCTTCCCATGAACTCTCCTAGAGTCCTTTCTGGCGTTCTGAAATAGGGCTGGTTTTGAATTTGATCCAGGACTTTGGGAATTGGGATCCGGAACACGGTTGTTACTACTTGTGTAGCCCTTAGTTCTGTCTCTTGCCTGCTCGTTCCATTGTTACCTCGGCCTTGCTTCGGCAAGCCGTTCCCTTTCTCCTATTTTATCTCCCTATTTGCCGATGTGTCTTCTTCGGCTCTGGCATACTTCTCGATTTTTGCCATGAGCTCTTCCATGCTTTTTGGCAAAGTTTTTGCCAAAGATTTCCGTAGCGGACAATTGTCTTTTAGGCCATTCTTGAATGATACGACAGCTACTTCTTGATTACATTCTGGTATTCGGTTGAATACCTCATAGTATCTTTTTGCATAGGCCCTAAGGCCTTCATCCTTGCTGATCCTCAAGGCCATCAATGCGTCCACCCTTAATGGCTGTAGCTTATTTGTTACGAACCGGGCCACAAACATCTCGGCCAGGCCCTCCCAAGTCTTCACGCTTCCCTTCAGGAGTTTATGGAACCAATCTGATGCGATCTCTCCGAAGGATGAGGGGAATACTTTGCAGAGCAACGGCTCGTTCCCACTATACAATGCCATTGAGTTCAAATATAGTCCGACGTGGAAGTTGGGGTCCGACTTGCCGTCGTATATTTGAAATCTCGGCATACTGAATCTCTTTGGTGTCTCGAACCTGTCCAATTCCACCGAGAATGGTGTCCTCGGCTTATCTGGGGATGTCACCTCGGCTTCGACATTCTGCTGCTTCCTCTTGAGGTAATCTCTTAAGTCTTCTTTGCTCCTCCCTGGAGCTCGGCTATTTTTGGACTTCAATCTTTTTGGCACACTACTTTCGGCCTCGTGGTGGGCTCGTTTTGATCTCTCTCCATGTGTTGTATCAAAGCAGAGCGCCTGCCCTTGAACATGCCGATGTTCTTTGGGCTCTGGATCCTTCGTGTGATACGTTCTTCGGGACTCTTCTCGTCTTGGCTCCTCTCGTCTGACTTCCCTGGAAGGTCGGTGAGAGTGCCTTTCACTCCTAGTGTACTGAGAGACTTCGGGGATTGCTCTTCTTCCCCTCTTCTGTGTATTAGTTGCAGGCATCGGCGTATCCTGCAGCGGGTATGGTGGCTGCATGACATTATTTTGCATCATGAAGTTGACGACCGACTGAAGGTCTGCCAACTTATTTGCCAATTCTTTTACTTCCTCATCCCTCCGTAGGCACCTATCCCTCCATACCTGAAGGTTATCTTCGTTATAGTACTTGCCTTGTTCTGTCCTTATCTTAGCTAAGTCTCCTCTTTACTCTAGGACTCCTGTCCCTTATCTTTTATCCATTTATCTCGGATTCCGATATCTTTGGAGACAATCTTGGCCTTGCCGAGATAACCTCGGCATCACAACCTGGACACGTGGCACCTCGGCTGACACGTCGGCGTCACCTTGCCACGTGTTGGTATTCAGAAAATACATCCCCACAATAAATAAAATAAATTGAAACAAAGTCAAACAAATAAATAAATAACGTACCAAATTTATTTATCGAACTGAATTAAAAATTCAAAGACCAAGTCGAGTGTGTGACACTCTGTCCTTAAGACAGATTCGCCCCGCTACGGTGCTTACGGTTAAGTGGCGTCTATCTCCCAGGATACAATGATCTTAACCAATTTGTAGTAGCACTCCAAAACAAATTGTACGGCGAACCAAACCTGTGTTCTAACTCTCTGAATTTTATTCTAAAACTAAAATGTAGAATAATGCAAAACAAAACAACGTTGGACAACAAAAGGAGTATTTTTCAGACTGTTTTCCATGAACAAAACTGCTGGAAATGTTTGGTATATGTAGGCAACAAAAGCTGTCCGAACAGATAAGTTTCTATAACTTCAACAGATGCTAAACCCTTGAACAGATTTAGTATAGAAACTGGACAGATTTGAATCTGTGCAGATTTAGAAACTGTCCAGAATTTCAACAGATTGAAGAACAAGTCTGGACAGAATTTACTTGAAGTTTTGATAAACTAAAATCTGCTGGAACAAGTCTAGATTATATAGACCCGAACAGGTACTAAAATTGAAGTGAACAGGTGCAATTTGAATTGAACAGATGTCCAAACTGTAGCAGTTATCTAACTGCCAAGAGCTGCTGTATGACACTGTTTGAATGAATCTGTCAGAAATTGAAGAAAACTGTTTTGGACAGTTTTGAATATGCGCGCGCGTGTGGTGGTTTGGACTAAGGTTCACTTTGTCCATAACTCCTCCCTTCTACAAACTTGGGGTGCCCCTTGGGGCCCAACCCAAGTATTGTAGGCTAGAGCTTATATACACAAATAAACTCTCTTAAAGTTTCAATGTGGGACAACCATTTCCAAAGAAATCCACATTTACTTCCTTAAATTTCCTATTCCACGAACCCGAAAACGACGTCATGTTCCCATTCACTCATTAATGGTTTTGACGAACGATCTGAACCGTGTGACTTGCCAGGCGGCAAGGAACACTTCACCTCTTCGGACCCACAAAAAAAAAACGTTTGGGGCCAACTCAATTTTGGGTTCACAGTCGGCCCAAAATATGCCTATATATTAACCATTTTTCCAACATCATCATGTCTGACTAGAGGCTTTGGTTGATTTGAAGAAGGTAGATCTTTGATATTCTCATTGGGAGGTTTGTTAGAACCCATAGTAATACAAGCTGGAGATTTAGGGGCATGAAC